CAGTCTGTGACTCCCTCTCTCTCTGACCCTCCCCTGCTCACGCTGTCTCTCTCTCTCTCTCTCCTAGAAATAAATAAAACATTTAAAAAAAATTTGATTTGAGAATCATAAAAATGATAATAAAATGAAAATGCAGTAAGAAACGTTAATTCAGTGAAGGATAAAGGGAGTCATAAATATACAAATGGAATACAAAGTTGGTAACTAAGTACAAATGAACAGTGATACTTCTCTAAACAGGTGTATTCCAAGGCAGTAATGAACTTCCATAGGGAGGAGGTGTAACATGTCCAAGAAGAAATGTCAGTGGTTTTTAGTAGCTGTTAAAATGCTTTATTTGCATGTGATATGTTAAAAATCCAGTAAGGAATCCGGTTTGTGGACTCAGAAACCCCTGATGCAACACATGCAGAAAGCAAGCCATTGAGAGGAAAACAGGGGAGTCTTCCCACCCAGGCACTTCCTCCTGACATGTAAGAAATACTTGAAATCTGGCCTCAGTTTGGATATCCCTGTGCCTGGTGGATTCCACTGGCAACCAAGTAAACTTATCACAGTAGTCATAACAGCTGGAGATTGAACTTGGTATAGGAGCAATCAGACTGGCTAAACTAGCAGGAGACCTGCTCTGGCACTAACTGTAAGATAAGGCCAAATACTTACCTTCTCTCTATCTTGGTTTCCTAACCTGGAAACAGTCCCTCTTAATGAACACCTTAAAACTAATACAGTAATCAGAATCATATCAACATCTGCAGCCTGGTCAGGTAAAGATAGGGAACCTGCAGCCCTAACCCTCGACCTCTGGGAGGGAGGAGGGCTGAGTTAATCACCAACTGCCAATGATTTAATCAATCATGTCCCCTATGCCTATGTAATGGAGGCTCCATAAATATCCTAAAGGATGAGGTTCAGAGAATTTCCGCGTTGGTGAACACATCAGCGGTCTAGGAGTATGACATGCCCAGAAGGCAAGGAAACAGCACCTATCCTTCTGCCCTGACACGGCCCAATGCTTCTCTTCTGCTTGGCTGTTACTGAATTCTATCTTTATAATTAACACGTAATAGTAAGTAAACTGTCTTCCTGAGCTCTGTAAGCTATTCTAACAAATTATCAACTCTGAGAGGGGACGTAATGGGAGCCCGTATGTCAGAAAAACACCAGACTTCTGACTGGTGTCTGAAGCAAGGGACGGCAGTCTTGCAGAAATGAGCCCTTTTTGTCTGGGGTCTGCGCTAACTCCAGGTAGTAAACATCACAAATGAATTAAATTGTAGGACAGCCAGTTGGTGTCCACAAAAAGCTGAAGAATTAATTGGTCTAGAAAACCCACACATTTGGGGTCAGAAGTGCTGTGAGTAGAGACTGTAGTATAGGTTAAGATGATTATGGACATCCTAATGAATTAGTTACAAATTAACAAAAGTACATAAAAATATTATAAGCTGAGAAGAATAGTTAATTGGTTATTAAAATACTATGAGATGAAAAACTATCAATGCCAAATATATTCCCTAAGAAGTGATCTGTTAAAATTGTTACTGTACACAACGAAATATTTCCCAATATACATACATGACAGCATAAAGCAAGGATCCCTAAAATTACTGTTTGTACCTATTCTTTTTTTTTTTAATGTTTTATTTATTTCTAGGAGAGAGAGAGAGAGACAGTGCGAGCAGGGGAGGGTGAGAGAGAGAGGGAGTCACAGACTGAAACAGGCTCCAGGCTCTGAGCTGACAGTCAGCACAGAGCCCGACGCGGGGCGTGAACCCACGAACCTCGAGATCATGACCTAAATGAAAGTCGGACGCTTAACCGACTAAGCCACCCAGGCACCCCTGTTTGTACCTATTCTTAAGCATACCACCCTATTACTCTTCATCGTATCCTCCTCTGCATGCCTCAATTCATTGAAATGGCCAAACTTTTTCAAAATTTTCTTCAACATCCCAGGATACATCATTTAAGATTACCATCTCCAGAAAAACACCACTTTATTCAAGAAAACGTCATTATTTTGTCAGCTTGGTAAAGGAAGAATAAGCCCAAGCATTAGGCTCTGATAGACCCATCCTGGAATCTGCCATTCATCACTACTAAACTTGCCCCACCTTCAGATTTCTCAAGTAAAATAATAATAATAATAATAAATGCAAAGTTGAATTGTTGTGGGAATTAGAGGTAAAGCATAGATAATGCCTGGCATACGGTGTATGTTCAATAAATACTAGCTGTATGTAATACTTATGCAGTTGGTATTTGCTTATAGGAGTATATAATTACTCCATATTAATTTTTTTTTCCAATTATACTATAAGTTCAATGAGCACAAAATCTTTTTATAGTACTTCTTTGGAATGTTTCACAGTCTAGTAGATCAGTTGGCATACAGTAGTGTAAAACCCATTTTCACACCCGTGGAGCATTAAGAGCTCCTAATAGCCCTAAAGACGAAGAGATGAGACTGCTTTAGTTGCAAAGATAGCAGTGGCCATCAAACTACAATTGTAACTGAGGAGAGGGCAAGGGGAAGGGTTCCTGAGCTGCTAACTCCTGAAGGACTGTGTATCTGTACCCACAGAATAGGAGAATGGAAGCCTTGGAATGAAGTCCTGGGTTGGACTGGGCTGAGAACAGAGTTGGAGGTTTTGGAAAAATGGTGTATTATGGAAGATTAGAGACAAATTTAAACAGTTATATGTGAGAGCTTGTGTGTGTTTTAATGTTTATTTATTTTTGAGAGAGAGCAAGCATGAGTTGGGGAGGGGCAGAAAAAGAGGGGGACAGAAGATCTGAAGCAGGCTCTGCAATGACAGCAGGAAGCCTGATGTGGGATTCAAACTCACAAACTATGAGATCATTACCTGCGCTGAAGTCCGACGCTCAACCAACTGAGCCACCCAGGCTCCCCTAGGTGAGAGCTTTTTGAGGGAAGTTATGGGAAATGAGAAGCATGAGGAGGTATTAGTGCAGAGGTAGCTCAAAGATGTGAGGCTTAGGTTAGCTCAAAGAACAACTTTCATCCAAATATAAGACCTATACACAAGTGACTTAATTTCAAACCCCAAGAAAAGTCAATGAATCAGCTCTAACCCCATACTAGCATTGAGTGCTTTGAAGAAAATACTTTAACTATCGAATACTTTAGAATTCTCAAAATAACTTATATTATTTGAAATATATCTTGTTTACATTAAAAACAGATAATTATTTACGTCTACAAAGCATTTCTGTCAAAAACCTAGATTGAGAAATTCCTAGAGATTATTAGATTGACTTAACACACCAAAGGTGGTGTTTTACCTAAATGATCACAATAGCCATCTTTAAGCACCTGTAAGGTATAAAGCAGTGAGGAGAAACTAGGAAGCTGTCAGCCAAAGGAATGACTATTCTTCTAGTCGCAGAAAAAACATGGTCAGAGAATTCAGAGATGTGTGGTTACAAAATTAATTTAATTTTCAATTCACAAAATCTCTTCAGAGTTAAGGGACCTTTCTTAAGCCTGAATATGAAAGGCATATCGATATGACAGTTGATTGCTTAAAGCTCAAAAGGAAGAGAATGAACCAGGACCTACATGTGAAGCAGTATCCTTCTCTCTATATTGACAGGGCTATGTGTTTAAGTTCCAAAGACGTACCATCCCAGCAAAAATGGCTTTGAGAACTGGAAGAATAGTGAAGGGACCTCGGACAACTTTTCCAAGCTCTTACACCAGTTCGATTTAGACCTGGAAGACTCCAGGGTCCGAATAAGTAAAATAGTAAGCTGCCTAAAAGGACACCTGTCTGTGTACATACCTATATATTTAAAGTTGCTCCTAAGAGCTTTAAGATACTTAAAGGTCACTCAGTTCATGCAGATATTTAAATAAAGTGTTACTTATTTTTTTTTTTAAGTTTAAATTCTGCATTCTGGTATTTATCTTTCTTTCAATTCTCCATATTTGAGGGGGGAGATTTATCATCGGTCCTACAAATGTCCCCTGAGGCTGGCACATAATGGTAGTAGATACCAGAATTGTCTCAGAAGATGGTAGGAAATATCTCTTGGGAGAAAATACCTGTTTACAGCCCAAGTTAATTTGAGTGACAAAGGCACAAATAAACAAGGAAAAGGGGCCAAAACTTACTGCGGAAATAAGATATACATAAAATGCTTACTACATAAATCTCTTTTGGTGTCAATAACATATTTCATTCTTATATTACCTTAAACCTGTTACCCACATACATTTTTCTTCTGCTGCTCACTTGCTATTGTCCTAAGTTTATCCCGACAATCTAGTTAAAGAAATTTTGATCTTCTGCAAGGGTGGGAAGGGGCAGAAAGTTGGCCAAATGATCTCAAAAGTTACTGGGAAACCTGCTTAGAGGAAAACCCTGTTGAGAACAAATATTTTATTTCATTTGTTTTGTTTTGCTTGTGTGCATAAACCTAACTCTTAGAGCTGAGAAAACAAAGTCTGTGAAAGATAAACAGACCATGTTCAAAGTTTTGTGGGGGGCTTTATAAAGGGACCAAACCTAGGTTTTCTCTATATTTGGTCATTTACCTTTTCTTTACAATGCCCACCCAGGACAAGATGCTCCCTATGATCTAAAAGGCTAGACTGACTTTGCCTATTTTGTGGATTACAAAAGTGGCATAGAGAGATCCACAGGCTCGTTCAAGGTCACACAGATCATAAAAGACAGAGCCTGGATTCTCGTTGAGTGTTCCTTCTACCACCAACACAACACATATTTGGATTTGATTTTCTTTCTTCTGAAGACTCTAAGAAGCATCACTTGACAATAAGGCACAGTTCTGTCTTCATGCCTTAAAGAGGCATCACTCTACTGTCTTTGAAACAGAATTTTCTAAGCTAAGAACCTGGAAATGGAGCCTGTGGACCCACGGAGACAGAACACGGTAGAAAGCGTTTTCTTTGCATACATATGTGTTCAATGCCACAGACTGAAGAACACTGTCATTTGACAGTCACTTACCCAAATCTGAAGCTTGATTCTCTTTTCATTTTTGAATACAGTTTTTACTTTGAAATCGATCCCAACCGTGCTGACGAATGCAGATGTAAAGGAGTCATCCGCATAACGGAACAGGAAAGATGTTTTTCCCACACTGCTATTGCCAATGATGAGCAATTTGAACATGTAGTCAAAGTTCTGATCAGAAGAGTCTTTCTGGCCATACCTGGCATCTTGGGAAGAGGCCATCTGTGATTAAAAAAAAAAAAAAAAAAAAAGATGAGGATCAGTCTTCCATTTAATATGAAACTAGCAGCACACTCATTATTGGCCTTGCCAGAAACAGATGCCAGACCACTCAAGAGACCAGTTGAGAATGCTCCCCAGTTTTCCTCTGATGCTGGTATCCATGGCAATAATTCCCTGCTGGAAGACAGAACAGCAAATCTTACAGCTCTTTCCAGCTGTGTTGGTGTTTGTCACTGCTCAGCATTCAGAACCAATCAAAGACACCAAAGGCGACATCTATGAGGGTTACATGAAAAGCAGAGATATGAGGAACGGGCCAGAGCATGTGGGCACTGAAACTTTGTAATCCCAGTGATGGACACACCAAAGTGGCTGAACAGCAGGGTGTTTCTTACTGACTTATCTGAATTATTACAGTCTCTCTTATTTCCTAGGAAAGTGCAGCCAAAGCATGTGTCTATTTCATCTATTAACATCATACTAAATCAACATACTAAAATAAATGGTAGTGACATTCAAATTAAAAATGAATACAGCAAGGGGCGTCTGGGCAGTTAAGTGTGCAACTTTGGCTCAGTTCTGTGGGTTCAAGCCTCATGTCGGGTTCTGTGCTGACAGCTCAGAGCCTGGACTGCCTGTTTTGGATTCTGTGTCTCCCTCTCTCTCTCTCTGCCCCTCCCCTGCTCACGCTCAGTTTCTCTCTCTCTCTCTCAAAAATAAATAAACATGAAAAAATGGCAATGGCAAGTATTTATGGTTCAAACGCAGTGTGAGAAATTTATTGAAACCTCACAACAACCCAACGAGGTAGATTCATATGACAATGAGAAAACTGAGGCTCAGAGCTATTATTAGGTAATGTGCTCAAGTTCACACGGGTATGAGTACTGGAAGACAATCAAATAGTGACAGGGCTCATGTTATTAAACTCTACCCTGTTTCTTAATAATGACTATGGAAATATACACTTGTGCTCTAAAAGATAAAGTAGGAAATACGAATTATGAAATGCATCAGTGAAGAATCCTAGCTGGGTTCATACCTTGGCTCTACTATTTCCTAGCTGTATGACTTTGATGTTGGTTTATTATTTTAAAATGGTGTGTCTCAGTTTTTTCTCTTACTTGACATGGAAATAATTATTATCTAACTTAGAACACTTGTGAAATAACAGATGATATATCTGGAAAGCAGACATGTAAAGCACCTAGTATAGCATAAAGAATAATCTTTATCATTATAAATGATTTACACAGATGTGGATTTTTTCACTCTTTTGAGGACCATCTTAACATCCATCAAAGCAGATGCTGTTTTACTTCTAAGTACCATTGGCTCAGTAGAGAAAAAGAGCATTTAGAATGGTAAATTCCACTGATTAGCGCACTTACTTACATTTTCTGGTGCTATGAATTCTTTGGCAATCACTGTGCTGTCCAATATACCCCAAAATGGTAGCTACTAGGCACAAATACCTATTTATATCTAAAGTAATTAAAATCAAATAAAATTTGGAATTCAGTTCCTTAGTCACCCTACCCACATTTCAAATGCACAACAGCCACAGGAGGCCAGGAGCTACAGTATTGGACAGCACAGGTACACAGCAATGGCATAACTGCAGAAAATTCTATTGGATGGTGCTAGGCTAGACAGACAGGCCTTTTTCATTTCCAATAAAATCTGATTAAAAAACCTTTCTCTTGGGAAATGTAGCAAAGAAAGAAGCCTCAGAAGATGGTAGGATGCTTGAAACAGTAAATAGTGCTCACCCTCATCTAAGACATTAATTGTTGAAATCACACGAATGTGTCTATAAACAATTGAGGGAAAGGGGGAAAAGGAGATGGTGAGATAACATACTCTCTTCCTACAAATTCTTAGTGCCAGTAATAGAACACAGTTACATGTATAAGAATAAGGACAAAAAGAAAATCTGTATATATTATTAAATTTAAGGGCAATAAAAATTTTGATTGCACTTCACATACTCTTATTAAATGTAAGCTTAAGCATTTGTCTTTTTAAGTCCATGTAACCACACCAATGTCTTCAATAATTACAACTTGCACTGAGTGTTTGCCAATATGCAAAACTGGGACACAAAAACAGGCAGATATCATGATTTTCCTTTCTGGCCCAGGGGCCTACATTCTAAGGTAAGCCTATGCCAACACGAGCAGCCTATTTTGGTCTTACAAAATTAGGACCATAACTCTGGACTACACGTTTGAACAATGATGTCTTGCTCTGATGTCTTCTGAAGTCAGGAAACTGTTCTTGTGTAGTACCCCTATTCCTGCAGACATTGTCCTTTCATCAGTTAATACTACCTCTCCTCCTCTTATGGAAATGTTAAGTTCAGGCAGGCCTGCAAATGGCCTTTGTTAAGAAGATCTTTCTACCATATTTTATATGAACAAGCCTAGATGCTAGGTTCTGGAAGAAAAATGTTCAGCTACACCACAGTCAGAAAACAGACACGACACCTTTCCTAGAGCTGCCCATACTCAGCCAGCTAGCCTACCATACGGTGCACTCTATCACTCTCAGGTGGTATCCAACTGAGTCCTGTGTATCCCTAGGATGCCTCACAGAAAAATGTGACAAAGACAGCCTTTATCAATCCCAAGTCTTATTCCAAAACCTGAAGAAGCATTAACATTATCAATATCAGACTTTTTAAATGTAATTATAGAGATTTAGAAGAGAAAACCATCCTGGGGCATTCTCTGGTAAGATAAATTGAAGTGGTTCAATTTCAAGGGCTGATATACTTTGTGGTGTCAGCAGCAAATAAGATAGTGGGAACACAGAGGGTATCTATGATGCAGGAAGACAAAGCTGGTAAATAAGTAGTTGTATCCAGAGACTCTAAAGGACTAATTAGAAAAGTTTCCTAACACTATTCTTGTAGGCAATTTTTTCTTACTATTTCCTGATTTACATCCCCAGTAAGAATCACAAAGAGCCAACATGGTGGAGAAGCAGGGAAACCCAAAGTTCCCTCGTCTCACAAACAATGCAGTGTTGAAGCTAAAGGGCTTTGAACTCCAACAGTCCAGAATGAAAAGAGACAATCGTGCTTCCAGGGACCCACCAGGAGAACCTGAATGGCCATAGAACTACTTCAACGAAGAAATCAAAGCACATCTAGTGAAGGGTTCAAAATATCACTACAAGTAGGGAGATAAAGTAACCAAACTCACAACAACAGAGAGCAAGTAATACCTCCTGAAGGGCCAGGCCCTGGACAGTGTATGACCCCTCTTTAAATACAGTGTTCACAGGTGCAGGACACATGACAAGCTTTTAAAACACATAAAGGACAGAAAACGGCCAAAATGATTAAACGGAAGAATTGCCGTGAAAAGAAATTCCAAGAAGAAATGAGAGCGAAATAATTGCTCAAAACAGATATAAACAATATAACTGAACAAGGATTTAGAATAATAGTCATGAGATTAATTGCTGGACTTGAAAAAATCATAGAAGAGAGCAGAGAATCTATTGCTGCAGAGATGAAGGAACTAAAAAATAGCCAGGATGAATTATAAAATGCTGTAAATGAGGTGCAAAATAAACTAGAAGTGGTGACAGCCAGAATTGAAGAGGCAGAGAGAAGAATAGGTGAAATAGAAGATAAAATTATGAAAAAGATGAGGCTTAGAAAAAAATTTTAAAAATTCTGTATTGTGAGGGGGCAATCAGAGAACTAAGTGACTCAATGAAACGGAACAATATCCGTATCACAGGAGTTTCAGAGAAGAAGAGAGAAATGGGCTGAAGGTCTGCTTGAACAAATCATAGTTGAGAACTTCTCCAATGTGGAGAAGAAACAGACACTGAAATTCAGGAGGCACAGAGAACTCCCTTCAGATGTAACTTGAATTGATCTTCTGTATGACATACCATAATTAAACTGGCAAAATACAAAGATAAAAAGAGAATTCTGAAAGCAGCCAAGGATAAACAGGCCTTAACCTACAAGAGTAGACACATAAGGGTAGTAGCAGATCTATCTACTGATACTTGGCAGCCAGAAAGGAGTGGCAGGAAATTTTCAATGTGATGAATAGGAAAAACACACAGTGAAGAATTCTTTATCAAGCAAGCTTATCCTTCAGAATAGAAGGAGAGATAAAGGTTTTCCCAAAGAAACAAAAACTGAAAGAATTCATCACCACTAAACCAGCCCTACAAGAGATCCTAAAGGCGGCTGTGAGTACTGCAAAGACCACAAAGGACCAAAGACATTGCTGAAATATAGCATGATATCTACAGATAACACAATGACTCTAAACCCGTATCTTTCAATAATAACACAATGTAAATGGATTAAATGCTCCAATTAAAAGACACAGGGAATCATAACGGATAAAAAAAAAAAAATCAAGACCCATCTATTTTCTGTCTACAAGAGACCCATTTTAGACCTGAGGACACCTTCAGATTGAAAGTGAGGGGATGGAGAACCATGCTATTGGAAGTCAAAAGAAAGCTGGAGTAGCCATACTTATATTAAAGAAACTAGATTTTAAACTAAAGACTAACAAGAGATGAAAAAGGGCATTATATAATAATTATAGAGTCTATTCACCAAGAGCTAACAATTATAAATGTTTATGCACCAAATTCGAAAGCACCCAAATATATAAAACAACTAATCACAAACTTAAGCAATCTTATCGGTAAGAATGTGGTAATTGCAGGGGGCTTTAATACTCCACTTACAGCAATGGACAGATCATCTAGACAGAAAATAAATAAATAAATAATGGCTCTGAATGGATCACTGGACCAGAAAGACTTGAAAGATTTATTTAGAACTTTTCTAAAAGTGACCAAATATACATTCTTCTCGAGTGCACATGGAACATTCTCCAAGACAGATCACATACTGGGTCACAAAACATCCTTCAATAAATACGAAAGAATTGAGATCATAACATGCACACTGTCAGATCACAATGCTATGAAACTTGAAATCAACCACTAGA